GCTCCAGGCTTCAAGAGAGCCGTCCCAAGCAGGGAGCAGGCTTGACCTGGGCCCCTAAGCCAAGGGCTGAGTGCAGTGAGGAGCGCATCCTGGCCCACAGAGCCCTGCTGGTTATTACAAGCTATGGAACATTGTTCCCTGTGCTGTACACTAGGACCTTGTTGCTTATCTCTTTTATGTACAGTAGTTTGTAGCTCCACCACTCTGGAAGCCTCTGGGTGGAGGTCTCCCTGCAGGCGGCCCACGGGACGCTGCCACTTTGCAGCAGGGAAGCCCTTGAGAGGCTGCTGCTCTTTCCGCAAAAGCTCCCTCGCCGAAGAGCCTAACGAACTGAGTGTTTCCATTGGCTTTTCTGATCTTCTAACTCCAGTTAAAAGCATCATTTTGCTTCGCTGTCAGTCAATTTCACTTTTGTAAGAATTTTAAAGATGTCTAAGCCCCTAAGGTGACAGTCCCAGCCTGATGCTGTCATGCTGAGCTGTGTCATATTGAATTCTGTCACTGAAGAGAAGCAAAATGAAATGCACCCAGGTGTAAAATTCCAGGCCTTGTTCCTTCTTATCGATACCAGATTAGAATGGCAGCGTCTAATGTTATGAAATTGATATGATGAAGATTGAGGTCTTAACTTGAGTGAGTTGGTAGTAAAATGTGTCGTTTGTGTATTTATGCACAGACAGGGAAAACAATTTCACTTGGCCCCACTTTTACATTTTAAATGTTTTCTCTTGGTAATTAGACTCAGTGCCTGTTAAAATGGAAATACTCTCTTTTTTGCCCTCTTCTTGAAACCCAGTGAATTTGATTGCAACCGCTTGGTGTTTTTATCAAATTCACCAACAAGCTTGTTGGTTTGAGATGAACTTTTATCTGTGTGTGTATGTGTTTAGGTACAGCTTCTTACAGTGTTGCTCAAAATGCAGATTATTTTTTGAGACAGCAGGTTGATGAATGAGGCCTTCAGCGTACCGCTGGTGAGACGCAGCGGTCGACGAGACACGAGGCTCTTATAACATTTACCAAGAAATCACTATCCCTCAGTCTCTGTGTCCCACAAGTGGGACATGCTAGCTCCTGCTGGCTTTACCTACCAGGACACAGGCTGGAATGTTTTATTTATTATTTTTGAGTTTCATCATTATTCAGTAGAACAGTTTATTTTGAAGAGTTTTACAGCCGGAAGATAGTAAATGACAGTCCTAGTTCACTGCCCTTTCCAAGTGTGGTTTTGGTTGTGCTTTAAAATTATAGTAATAGACATTTCCCCCTAAAATATGAATGGAAATTGTGTGTCTTGAAATCACACAATAATGATGACTCTAGCAACACGATACTTATTAATATTAATACTGGTGCTAATGAGAGCAGCTTCCACAGGTCAAGTTTTTAAGCATTAGTTCAGACATTTTTTTCTACCTTCCCATTTAATCTTCCCAATAATCCTAGAAGTTAGACATTATTATCTCAGTTTTCTTAATGAGGAATCTGAGGCTTAAAGAGGTTAATTCATTCAGCAAAGGTCATACCATTTCTAAGAAGCTAAGCTGAGATTTCAACATAGGGCTCTTTAGTCCAGGCTGTGTGGTTTTTCTATAATCATACAAATACCTTTTCCTACAAAATTGTGCTATGTTTATGTCACAGTAGGCCAGGTAGGTTGAACGAGTACCCATTGTGTGCATAAGGGGAGATGGAGGATATAAGTTTTGGCACCAGAAGAGAGGAGCCGTGGCGAGCCGGTGAGTTAATAGTAAGAAGGCAGTGTGTTCTGAGCTAGGCATTACACACATTGGTTTCTCCCCCTTTGAAAGTGGCTGGTTATCCAGTAACAGTAGTCAAAGTTCAAGAGCAGATTAAGGTCAAATAAAGCAGCCAAATGTTAGCTGTCAGATCTGTTCAGCTCAGTGATGGGAGATGTGAGTTATATTACAGAGGGGTCCCCTTAGCTCGCAAAACAAAGGTGTGGAGAGGAATTGAAGCTGACCGCCAGGCATCCATCTTTCCTGATGACTAGTAAAGGGCATCGTTGACAGCAGCAAGCACTCCCCACAAAGAGGGACCGTTTTCAGTACCTGCTTTTACTACCCCAAATACCCGGTTTGCAGTACAATGTATGAACTTCCTCCAGTTCATATAACTGTCTGTGCAGCAGAAGACCATGTGTTTAGGCAGGAAAAAAGCAGTATGTTGTAAGAGTATGGTCTGGGCTTTCCAAATTTTGCTTAAAGATAGTAGTGTTCAGTAAATGCTAGTCAATCCAAGACACCTAGTGTAATAATGCCACTTCCTCGCTGAATCACCATCCCTCATTCTGTCGCATCCCATCAGTTCATTTTGCCCTTTTTCTCCTGATCACTTGTTCAACTTGCTCTGCCCAGTTAGTCCCCATGGGACGCCTACTCTGTGCCAGGCCCTTGCAATGTGCTGGCCACAGGAGGGTGATTCTGCAAGAGTGCTGCTCACGGAGCTCACCTTTTCAAGGAGGAGCAAGCACTGGAACTGTGTTCCCCGTGTGGCCCCAGCAGCACGCTGTGACACTGCACATTTGTCTCCAAAGCCTCCAGCAGGCTCAGAATTCCTCATAACCTTGCCTTGAACCCTCCCTCCATAATCCTCAAGGGAAAGGATGTGGCTTAGGAATCAAAGAGTCCTAGATTTGAATCTCGATCTTGCCTCATCTGAGCTCTCTGTCTTGAGCTCTTAAGTCCTCTTGGCCTCAGTTTCCTAATCTATAAAATGGGGTGAAATCAGTAAATGAGGAGATTATGAAACCTAGAGAAATGGTATGCAGTGAAATCATTTGTCAGTACGTGGCCTTTGAAGACCACTCAGGTAAGACTGGGCTCCTTATCTGAACGAACAGGTGCTGAGCATTTAGCGTGTTCTGGATTCTATTCTGGGTGCTTTACTACAGAGGTGCTTGAGGTGCAGATGGTTTTAATGGGATGCTGAACGGAAGTGGTGTGAGAGAAGCTTTGTCTAAGGAGGTGCATGGAGATGAGATACCTAAAGAGATGGCTGTTGGAGGAGAAGAAGGGGTAGGCCAGGTGAGAAGGTTGGAAGACAAGGAAACATTGTGATGCATGGCATCTGGACAAGAAACCTCATTAGGAAGGGGAGCAGGTGCTCCAGAGCCCCACCATCTCCATCACCCTCTGCCATTCCAGTGCCAGCTGCCCAGAGCTGCGTTTCTTTGCTGACTTCTCTGGAACCGAGGAAGGCCATTGTGCTGATCAGGGTTGCTGACATCCCTTAGAAGCAGCCCTTGACCAGTGACTCTGGCATTTGGTGTATAAATACCCCAGCTCTTTCTCCCTGTGGGTGAGATAATTGAGGTTGTGTGTTTTGATCTGTTTTCTCGAATTTTCTGGCATCTGAGCTAATAATGCACCTTCTGTTGGCTGCCTTCCCTTCCTGTCTCACCTGCCCTTCCCCTGACAGTGTTTCTGGCCTTTCCCAAGTCAGCTACCTGCACTGGAATCTTTATTTCAAGGCCTGCTTTAGGGCAACTCAGAGTAAGACAAGGAAGTATTTTCCCAGCTTGATGTCCCAGAAGGTCATGTGCTGTTTCAAGGTCTCTGACCTTCACAGATACTCTGCAGAGGACCTGACAGATCAGCCATCAATTTGTTTTATGCTGTAGCTTTCTTAAACTTTTAAGAACTAAACCCTTTAAGATATAAATGCATAGTCCATCCCAAGACTTGCAGCCTTGCCAGAGGAAATACATATCTAGCAAAGGCAAGTTAAGCTCCTCTTGGAAAGAGAGAGGCTAGAAAGTGAATTCATTCAATTATTTTTGTAAAAGGACATACTCGTTTTTTCTGCTCTTCGTTTATGGGCAACTCATGGACTGAAGAGTTCAAAGTTTCATCCTTTCTGTTTTCATGATATCTGGTACCTATGGTGTTTGTTCATGATAAAAGGGAGTGTGTCTCCCACTAGAGTACTCCATACAGCTCAGACGTTGTGCACATGTTCTGACACTTGTTTGTTATGAAGCTCTGTCTGACACAGGAACCTCAGAGGGGCTGAAGGAGCATGTAATTAAGGCCAGGTCTTCCTGACTTCAAAAATCCCGTGTGTCTCCCTTGTTCTACACACTGTCTGTTGATAGAGCCCTTTGCTTGGGACGCAGCTCTGATCTGTAGACACACGCCAGCAGCAGAACCAAAAGGGCCATGGACCTTCAAGTGTGACTTTAGAAGCGAGAGAAATGGTGTGCAAGCCAGATCTGAGCTGCAACCAGTTTTTACAGGAAAAGGAAAAACCTCAAGCCACAGCCTAGAGCGCTCTGGCAGTAATTTGTCTGGTCTAGTAAGAGGGACAGCAAGTGGGAGGAGACTGGCCTGGATCCTGAAATTTAACTTAAATACAGAGGAGAGGCGAAAATAACCCTGTTGGTGTTGCAAGCTCTGCCTGTTTTCATAGAATCTTGGACCATTCCCACATGACAGATCTTACCGAGGAGGCAGTCGGAGTTAAGAATTTGTGGAGCTGGAAATAGAGCCTCGATCCTTGGACTGCCCAGTTGGGTGCTGTTTGGTAGATGGAGACACCATTCCGTCCTCCAGGCTGGGGAGGATGGTGTGAATGAAAGTTACCATCTCCTTCAGCCTAATGTCTTTATTTTATTTTATTTTGAAAATGCAAACCTACCTTTATTTGCAGATGGTATGATTGTGTACATGAGGAAAAAGAAGGGATCATGTAACTTTTAGAACTTCTGAGTGAATCTAGCAGAATTGTGGGATACAAGAGCCATGTCCAAAAATAAGTTGTATTTTTATGTAACAATAGCAGAGAACTGGAAATGGAAATTAAAAACATAATCTATAAATATTATATACAAACATTATATACAAATTAAATGAAAGATATGTAAGACCTCACCTTTATTTTTGATGCAGGGGTGTATACTGTATTTTAAAATTTTATTTATTTTTCATTCTTTAGCCTAACATCTTTTATTTTATTTTATTTTATTTTTTTAATTGAAGAAAAATACGGAGGGCTTCACGAATTTGCGTGCCATCCTTGTCCAGGGGCCATGCTAGTTTTCTCGGTATCGTTCCAGTTTCAGTGTATGTGCTGCCGAGGCGAGCAGGAGCCTGATGTCTTCAGTTCAGTTGACTAAGCACCTTTTCCATTCCCTCTCCCTGCCTCCCCCCACCCTCTCCCCCCACCTCTCCCCCAAAGCCTTTCTAACAAGCTCTTAGTTACGTAAATTACAGAACAAAACCAGCTTCCTGCTAACTCCTTTGGACTTTAATTAAAAGGCATATTCAAATGTGTTCCGTGCCCCAGTGCCATCCACACTAAATAGCACATAAGCACTTTTGCAGTGCTTAATGCAAACTTGTTGAAAAATGTGCATTAGTTTTCATGGACTTTAAATTGGATAAATGCTCATGGAAAAGGATGAAGTGAACTGGTTTTGGAGGGAGCACTGAAAAAGGGAGAGAGAAAAAAGAGGAGCCAGTAAAGGCATGAGGTTTCTAAATGCGCATGCACTCCTTTCTCTCCGTGACCATCATTTGGTTGGCACTGTGTGACTGCACTTGGAGATGGCCTTCGTGTTAATGAAATCAGGTGTGTTGAGCCCGGTGCTAGAGACCCAGGTTGTGTTGAAATAGCATTGACTTTGAGCCCAGACCGTCTCAGGGCGGCTGCCTAGCTAGCCGTGTGACCTTGACCAAGGGACTTTACCTCTTTTGAGACTCAGTTTTGGTTAACGGAAAATTGGACGAGATGACGTGTGGACATAGCTTGAGGTCCCTGACACATAGTAGGTGGCCAATTACTCCTAGTTTTGTTTCCAGGTAAGTGAAGACTCTGATTCTCTGACTCTGGGGGCTCTGGCGGGGAGAACTTTTATACCCCATCCCCTACTGGCCTGTTGACTAAGCTCCGAGAGGGCGAGACCCGCCTCTGGGGTCCACTGCTCTGCACTCTTGCCTCGCCCACTGAAGGTGAGCGATAAATATTTGTTGGGAAGAATAATGCACAACATTAGCTGAACCCGCCCATTGCTCTCGGGGTGAAACTGCCAGGAAATCCAATTTGGGGGGAGATTTTGGTTTCCAGGGCTCATGAGGGACCCTGCCTCTTATTAGACGGTCTCACAAATTCTCCTTTGTGTTGGGGGAACAGGGGGACGTCCCCTTCGTGCTTTCTGATAACTGAGGACCTCTGTAATAGTAAGAGAATACACAGAGGGACCCAGTGCCTTCAGAGGAGAGCCCCTTTCTCTGAAATCCCATTAACACCCTCAGATGGGTGGGCTTTAATTTCCCACAAAGCGGCCCTATATTCCAAAGGTGAGAGGCTCATCTGCAAAATTGTTGCAACCCACTCCTTTTCTCTGCATTGAAAGCTCTTTAAAATTCGTGTTTCCAGTTGTATTTTAACCGGGGCGGCGGGGGGCGGGGGTTGAAGAGTGACTGCCTTTTATCAGAGCCTTCTCCGCCTACATCTGAGCACAATGGATGAAAGACGACTTTGGGAAAAGTAAGTGGCAGTAATAAACAGCACATCAGCCTTAGTCACAAGTGCGAATTCAGCTTATACTTGTTGCCTGTCTGTTCCATGAATTACTTGGCATATATTTTATCTAACCCTTGGGACAGTCCCAGCAAAGCCTTCGTGAGAATCCCCACCCTACATAGAAGGAGCCCAAAATGACTTCCCTGAGATCGTGTCATCTAATCAGCGCCCAGGTCTGGACTCAGACTCAGGTGACCCCTAAGCTAGGTCTCTCCCCTTGATGTTGCAGGTCTGGGTGAAGTGCTAGCCTGCTGGGCCCTCTGGTAGTGATGCTTGGCGCTTCTGTAGATTGGTGTTTCCATTTCTTGTTCTGTCCATCCTTAGCAGTGGGAAGTCAAGGGTGAGCCTGAATAAATGGCACCCCCTGCCCCCCACTTCCATTTCCAAAGAACTGTTTTATCTTGTTTTGATCTGGGGTTTCTGAGTACTGTTTAATTTGGGGAAATTCTGCTCTTCTTGTGTTTGTTTTTAAAGCACTGCTCTAAGAAGAGTTTGGGCGAAACCCAGCAAGGCATGTCTCCTTGTCCTCACCAGTTTTCCAGAACTAGAGCAGGCCATGTTATGTCCTTCAGGAAGGTAGGCAATGAGAGACCTAGAAGATGAAAAACATGTACCGATGCGGGTTTGGGTTCGAATAGATACGGTGCAGTCTGATGCAAAGGCCATGGAACACAGCAAGCCTTACCATTGATAAGTCACTCAGGAGCCCTTTCTTGGCTGTCAGGTGGGGACTGTACCAGGATCTCCGCTGGTCAGTTTGTTCTTGGCCAGTTGAGCTTAAAGGTTGGCCCAGTTGATTTTCTAGCTGCCACGTCCACTGTCACATATGCCCTTCAGAGCAGCACAGTGACAGCCAGTCTCCAGGACTCAGCAAAGCCCCCTTGCTCACTGTCCCAGGCAGCGAATCCCTGCTCAGCTCATCCACACACTTATGTGTCAGTCCCACACTTCACGTTCCTTGCCCTCAGGGGGCTGACAGTCCAGCAGGAAGAGATGGATGTTCAGGCAAAGCTTAATGGCGAAGCGGAGAAAGTAGAAAGTGACAAGTGAGAGGGGACTTGAAGGATTAATAAGAGGTCATCTAGTGGAGAGAGACTAAAAGGATCGTTCTGTCAGGTTGTCCTTGACTTGGAGCTGTGAGCCACTGAGCAGCAGTTACTCTGTGTGGCTGAGACTGGCGGGTGGGGAACGATGCACCTGCTTGCACTGCTTTGTAGCCAGTCTCCTCTGCCTGAATCCACCTCTATGTCACCACCCCAACCTGTTCCAGCACGCTTCAGCCACCTAACTCAGATCTCAACTAACAGACGTCAACTTAAACCCCCTTTCCTTCAGGAATTCCTTTTGTGGGACATGCTAACATATATTGGCCTGAATCGTCTATCTGTCTTTCCTTGTCGTACTGGAAGATCTTGATAAGCAAGGAGGTGCCTGCCTGTTATTACTGGGAATGAATGATAGAAGACATAGCTTGAAGGTGGGTTAAAACCAGATATGGTGAGCCTTGACTTTGGACTTGAACCTGAAAGCAACAGATTTTGTTGCTGTTTGTTTGTTTTTAAGCTGATAACGTTTTATTGCAGGGATGAGCAAGAACAGGTGGCTTATGCCCCCTAAACCCCAGACTCCCTGAAGGGTTTCAGTTGAGCGTTATAAAAGATAAGGTGAGGGAGAGGCATCCCAGGGTCTGGGATCCGCTGTGCACAATTCTCTGATTGGTTGATGGTGATCAATCTTTAGGTGCCAGCAGGTCTGGAGGCTGTGTGCTCGTGATCGTCAGGTAGCTAATTTCTTCTGTTTGGTGGTGGTTTTAGCATCTGAAACATTTGAACTTACTAAGGTGGGCAACTACATGATCTGATCTGTGCAGAAAAACGATGATTGGTAGCAGTGTCATAACTTAACCACAGGGTTTCAGTGAGGATCAAATGAAATAATAAATGGATGTGCTCTTTAAAAAAACGTTCTTCCAAACAGCAGTAAGGTGCTTATCCAAATGGAGGGTGTAGCTACTGTACTTTGTTTTTGATGCCTGCTGTTCAAAATTAGTATTTCAGTGAATAACCCTCCCCATCATCCTCCAGTTTCTAATCCCGATTCAGCTGGTAATTCAGTGGTTAATTCCACATTACATTTTCTCTTCTTCCTGAGTGAATACAGGTAAAGGGATCCTAGTTAGAGACCTGGCCTCTCTTTGCATTTCAATGCGCTCCCCTGCGGAATTGCCAAATTCCAGTGCGCTATTAAAATGGGCAGCACACCAACAAAAATCTGTCCTCGTCAAAAATTCAGGAAAATAAAATAGAAAGATGTAAGGCCACATTTTCAAAGGATTCAGCTTGACCCCCTCGTATTTTTTTGTGTATGCAAAAAGTATTTTTTCGCACCTGCAAGCACAGTCTCTGTGAGCCAGCTATAGCCTCCAAACTGCCAAGGCTTTAAAAACAAGTCTGCCTTTCAAATTCAGCCCAGAAACCCAGCAATGAAACAAGATTGGGGTAGAGGGCTGCCTACGACTATTTATAGGAGTATTGGGGGATGTAATTACTACCTTGCAGCCTGTTCTGAAATACCACTGCTTGGCAGAAGCCTGTGTGCCACACATCAGAGATTGAAGGAAATCCTCAAAGATGGCGGATGACTTGAGTTGGTGAGAGTGGCAGCTTGAGTGGTTTCCTTTTGCTTAACCTGGTTTTTAATTGGTCTGTATAAGATGCTTTGGGAATTTCAGCTGCATTCATGCATGCATTCGTGTGTGTGTTTATCTTCCATCTGAACTTTCATAGCACTAACCTTTTAAGTATCTGCCAGGTCTCAGGCTCTGTGCTAGGCTCTGCGGATTTAGTAATGAACACCAAGTCAGGTCTCTATTCTTACACATCTTCCACCTGACTGTGAAAGGCAGCCAGCTAATGGTCACTGAAGTACTATGATGTGCATATCCTGTTGTGAATTCATTCCAATTGTGATAAGAACTCTGTGAGAAAATGCTAATCCCCCTAAGAAGGAAGGTTAGATGAGGGCTGGGAGTTTTGTCTGTCATGTTCATGCTGAATTCTCAGGGCCTGCAGCAGTCCTGGCATGCATTTTTCAGTGAATTGTGGAACATAGATTACACCATCAGAGTGTACATAAGAGGGTCTGACGTAGTCGGTGAAGCCCTGGGACATGACATTTAAGCTGAGATCTAAAGAGTGGTGGGGAGTCAGCTGTGTAGGGCAGGCACAGGTGGGGAGTGGGGAGCGTTGTGGGGGAGGGAAGGGCTTGTGAGAAGCCCTCCCAGGAAGACAGAGCTGTGAGCCCTTGATGAGTGAGTCTGGAGATGTGCACAGGAGCTGGGTCATGTGGGATGTGGGAGGTGACAACCGACACGCAGATAAAGTGCTCAGAAGGTCCTCATCTGGATAGTGGCATCCAGTGTACTGGGTCTTACAGAACTGGTTCTGGGGAAGGATTTGGAAGTTGATGGGCACCATCTTTCAGGCAAGACTGTAGACACAGCCCTCAGCTCCAGGAGAGCGTGAGTGCATGTTTTCTGACTAACAGGGAATGAATGGATGC